AAGTGCCCTTTCTGTGCAACTCCCTGTCTCTGAAGGTCAGGTAGGCAAAAACATTGTGTTTTTGGCATCTCCTAAAAGCATACTTATTTCAAGAATCGTTCCTTGATTGACCAGCCATTTATGCGCACTCTGTTTTTAAAAATAAAATATGTAATATGGCTGTTTTATTCTTTTTATCTTTATTTCATTCTTTTCTTGTTCAACACCCCAGAATCTGTTTTGATAGAGAATGGTATAGAAACATTACAAATATATATTTGAAAGTGGAACAGATGGTCTTTGTCGGAAGTGGACTCTCCTTTAAGGAGAAGCTGGACTGTCCCTGTCACGGATGCTGTAGTTGCAAGATCCTTCACTGAGCAGCAGGGTGGACTAAGTTCTGTGCTTGCTCAAATATTCTGTAGTTGTGTACTTTCTCCCTGAGCCCTACTCGTTCTAGTTGCACCTGTATTAGGCAGTCATTTTTCTTAAACTGAGAAATGCTCTGTAGGCTCAACAGACCCAATCTACTATGAATACATGGTTCAGATCTGTCATATACAAAGATGTCCATTGACTGGAGGAAGCAGGACAGATCCAGATCGCACATCAATTGTTCTTCCAAAATGAAGACCGTGCAATAACGCAGGATCATAATTTGCCTGCTTCAGCTGCGCAAGGAAAACTCAGCAGGGATCTGTTCTGCTGGATTGAACTCAGAGGTCACTTGCTCCAGTGTGAGATGATGAATACTAGGAATAAGGAAACTGATATAGGAAACCTACATGCATTGGAAGGCAAAGCAAATACTTTCAAGATGCTTTTGAAATCTGCTGTTTTGTATAGATATGCAAGCCTGCTGCACAATCTCCTTTCTTGTGATAGTTAGACGGAACAGAAAATTATCTCTTTAAGAGCAAGGGTGACAAATGGTTAACAGTTATATATATATATATATATATATATATATATATATATATATATTCAAATCCCACAGCCCACTACAGCCAGTAATTTTCAATCTCCAAGTATTAATTTCACTACTGCCTAAAATATATAAAATATGGTAATATTTTAATGCATCCTGGATAAAATTCAATGAAATGTGGTCATTGCTAATTTAAAGGGCAAAAGCATCCATTGCTGATCATATGTAAAAGTTCCCTTCTTGTCCTTTTGAAGTATATTTATAATGCAGGGTTGTGGATTAGTTTTTGTTTACAGCTTGAAGTAAGAGGTTAAGTTTGTCATATTCATTTATTAGGTTAGGTTATGTCTAAATACTTCATTTTCAACAGTGAAAAGCTCAGCTTTGAGATTTTAAGTTGTGAATTGCTATAGGAATTCCACCCTACACCCCCACGCAGAAATAAATGCCATTTGAATGGAAGTGTATATTACATCACTGAGTGGATATTTTCAGGCAAGTGAAGGAGATGAATATCTTAAGACCTTAATTGACTATCTGATTTGACTTGCAAATTCCTGGCACATTCAAACAGCCGAAGTGACTGGTGCTCACAGTAGACTACACACTGAATGTGCCATGCATTCCAATGGACTATTATCACAAAGTGACAGTGTGGAGAATTTAATTTAGGGCAGACGAAGAGAAGCTGAACAGAGAAACCAAAACAATGATCTGTCAACATGTATTGACAGTCTACTCTTTGGAGACCAGGCTGTATTTGTCTACAGTTTTGTGTTGTTATTCTCATTATTCAATTATTGATATAATTAATATCCTGTACATGGCATACATTTATATATACACACATAACATATATATACATTTATGTTCCAAGGCTGGCTAGCAATAGGATACAATATGGAAGTGCCATAAAAAAGAAGATAATAAAAAAAAACATGCAAAATAGTGCAACATGTAAAACAGGAACAGCCCATTCAAATAGATAGTAAAATAACTGTTCTCAGTTTAAAATGCTAACATTTGTAAGTTTCTAAGCCAGTATCTCACAGAATGTGCACATTTTATTTAATGGTATATGCAGTAATAGCTGGAGCAACCCACCTTGCTGTGCCAGCACAAGACAGCTTAGCATGCCAGTGTAGTGGTGTTCCAGTTGCCCTGTGCACCCGTGCGGTGATAGAAAATACCATAGAAGGATTATGGTTTCAGGATACAATATGCATTCTTCAGAAGTTCATTTTCCTGTTGACAATTCGCAGGTCACAATCTTCAACTTACAAATAGGGCAAAAAGGCTCACTGTTTAGCCATGCTGGATCAGCCCAATGGTCCATCCAGTCCAGTATTCAATTCACACAACTTCTGCCCACAAGATCCCCCAAGCAGGATGAGTGCAACAGCTCCCCTCTGCCTAAGCTGTGCAACAACTGATGTGCACAGGAATACTTCCTCCAATACTGAAGCCAGCATGTGGCTATCAAGGCCAGCAGACATGGATAGCTGCTTTTCCATGAACTTGTCCAATCTACTGTTGAAGCCTTCCAAATTGGTGCCAATCTCTACTTCCAGTGGCATTGACTTCCATAGTTTAACCATGTGCTGTGTGAAGGAGGATTTCCTTTTATCTGTTCTGAATCTCCCACTAATCAGCTTCACAGGTGACCCAATTCGATTCTATTATTATGGGACAGAGGGGAAAATGCCTTCTTCTCAACCTGAGATCAGCTACCGCTGACAATCATACTTTCCCATATCCTCCTGAATTCTGTGGCTTCAGAGAAGATAAATTCCCTCCCGGGAATGTGTTTTTGCTCTTTCCTTTTTTCCTTTCACTTGAATGGAAAATATAGCTTCTATAGGAAAGGCGAGAGGAGCTTGCTATCTGGTTGTTATATAAGGCATTATAGATGAAGAGGAGCTTGAAAGATGGTTCATGCAAGCTATAGTGCAGGGTAATGGGTCAGTAATCTAGGGACCTACCTAAGCCACAAAGAGTATTTAGTGCAGTCTCCCCAGCTGGGTGCCCTCCAGATGTTTTGGAGACAAGCCTGTTGGCACCAGATGAACAGGCAAATGGTGAGGAATGCTGGGAGTTGTTGCCCAAAATACAGTAGTACCTCGGCTTATGAATGCCTTAGTTCATGACCAAATTGGGTCGCGAACAAAAATTTCATGAAAATTTTGACTTGGGTCGCGAACTCTGCATTGGGTGGCGACCAAGATCGCAGCCATCTCCCCTCCCCCCAAGTAGGGAGATGACCACGATTGCAGTTGCATTCATGCGGGGAAAACGTGCGTGATCACGGGCGTGCTCCTGCAGGAAAGACGGGTGGAAACTCGGCCATCCCCACCCCTGCAATCAGCACAATCGTGGCCATCTCCCTACCCCCCCCCCCCCGAGAGGGGAGATGGCCACAATCGCAGTCGCGTTCATGCAGGGAAGACATGCGTGATCGCAGCTGTGCTGTACCCGTCTTTCCTGCAGGAGCGCACCCGTGATCACGCACGTCTTCCCTGTAGAAGCACTGCTGTGCCAGGATTTCTTTGAGAAGCACACCCCAACATAACTGTAATGAACAGAGTGTTGAATCTGATGAACATTAACGTGGTCTCTCATTTCTGGAGGGTTATGCAGCACAGGAAAAAACAAGTGACTATAGACAGATTTTTCACAAAGATTAACCCTGCAGCTAAGAGACAAGAGAGGAAACCTCTGAAAGAGATCTCCCCAATGTCCTTATGGAGGGGGGATCTCCCTCCCACGTCCCCCCCACCTAGGTTAGTGTTCTCCACTGTACTGTACAGTACTTGGTTACTTTATTATTCTTTGTCCCTTTGTTTCAATTTTTTTTCTGATAAAAAGAATAGTTACAGAACGGGTTAACCATATTTAAATTGAACCTTATGGGGAAATTTGACTTGGATAACAACCAATTTGGGTCACAACCAGAGTCGTGGAACAGATTGAGTTCGTGAGCCAAGGTACCACTGTATCTGGACTTTACAGTATTGGAATCAGTATTAGTTATGCCTTTCAGATTAGGAGTGTGACACAGCTGAAAAGAAGGCTGATTCCGTTTTTCTACTGGAGAAGTATTAGTAGAGGATAGAGGCATTTCTGCTGCCTAAGGTGTAAGCACAGAATCACCCCCTGCCTGAAGAGTATGTTCTTGCTATTTTCTCAGACTGGGTTATCTGAAGTAAGCAATGCTTTGGGTTACCAGATATACAACTACAACTGGGGCATCTAGTTGTAAAACAGTAGTCACTTCTGGGGTTATTCTTCTAAAGAAGTGTCAGTAGTTACTAGCTCTGCCTGTGCCCCAACAAAGAGCTTGATGCTCAAAATGTGTTGTGAATTGGACCGCAGTTAGTATTACTTGGATCTTTATATTATTCATCTTTATCTTCGGAAATTTGCCTGCCTCTTTCTGAATTGCAGCCTAGAGCTGATGGGTTACAAGCTAGACGGTACAATTCAAAATCCAAAAGAGATGACAAAAATGAACATGTTGTTTTTTTGATGTTTGTGGCATTTACATGAAGTGGGGATCAAGCTCTGTATGAAGCATCCATCACACTTTACATCATACATTGCCATATTTAAATCACTTCATTATGTTTGCTTGTTTGAGTAATTGTCAGTGTTCACTTTACCATGTTTGGAGCATGCCACAACCTTATTATATTCTTTGGCCTGTTCCTATGCATCTGTAGTCTGTTGAAAATTAATCCATTTGCTTTTGAGAACTGTATTGGTGACAAAAAGATTTTATCATTACTGAAAAAATGGATGCCAGTGAAATATGAACAGGTAGAAAACTGAAGCATTAGAATACATTTAATCTTTGTGAAATTATTTTGCCAGTATGCAGTTTACAGGGAAAAACTGTTCTGCATTGCAGTTATTTTATGGGCTAAGTTATCTATTACATCCCACCTCCTCTAGACTTGGCTAGTATTAAAGTTGCTTCATTAAGGTATGGCACATTGAATAGTGAAAAACTCTCTTTTCTTCTGGTGAATGAGCTATACTTTCATGCATAAAGAACAGAACTACAAAGATAATAGTTATGTCATTCTCTTCATAGATTGTGATCCCCTTCTTCAGCCTACTGATCAAAGACATTTACTTTTTAAATGAAGGATGTGCTAACCGTCTTCCAAATGGACATGTCAACTTTGAAGTAAGCACAGAAAGCATCTTTATTAAGTTCATGGCTGATGAGTTCTTTGTGCTTAGGTTTCAGGATGATATATAATGACCTTGACCAAACAAAAAAAAAGGATAATTTCCCTGGATTTCCTCAAAAGTCAAGCAAATGCCAGCAGACCTTTTAAAAAGAAATGAGTGGATAAATTATTTTAAGTCAGAAAGATCAGGATCCAAAAGGTCATGTGCAGATCTCTGCATGCACACTAGTGCTGTTCCTAGCCTCCTTCCCTTGAAAACCCTCTTCTGAAGGTCACCCTATGGAGAAGGATTTGATGTGAGACAAGGGGACAAGGTTAGAAGCAAATATCTTTACTCCCACCATGCTTGAAGTGCTTTCAGCTTATGCAGGGTTGTTTGAATCCCAGCTCTTACCAATGGAATTGCCATAAGCAGCCTTTCTTCGGGCAGTAGAAAGGAAGAAGATGCAGCAAAGAAAAGTCACAGCAACCGCTATGTTTCTTCTTTCTGGTCCTTAGAAAAGCCAGCCAATGCTGGCGGGCTATGAGATAAGTAATGACAGTTGGTGGCACTGCAGAGGCTGGGATGAAGCTCTGTGCCTTGCTGTAGCAGCTTGCAGAGATGGCAGATGTTACAGCTGCCCTAGTGTTCTGTACACATAGGACTGATGCACAGGCTCCTGCGCAAGCTGGCCCAGAGGATGAAGAGCCCTTTTGCATAACCATTTGAGAACAAGAACAGGAAATGGGGATGTGCCTTTATGCTTTCATGTACAGACTAGTATTTCAGGATAGTAGTACGTTTGTGTTAATTCAGTTATTACATAGTACTGTCAAGTTTTAGTGTCATACATTTATGCAAGTGTTGCAGGTTCAGTGTTAGTGGGTGTACTATATTAAAAATGCTACAAAAATAGCATCAGCACAAAAGTGTGGCCTGTGTATTTTGGGATCTGAGAGCAGAGGATTTTACTATGAGGATTTTCCTCAGAGCAGAGGAAATCTAATATATCCCATTCCAACTTGATTTTCTTCAGCATATTATAGTAACATAGGGGAAACTGTGCTGAAACTATATCTATGCATATACTAATGCACCTTTTAAATAATATATCAACTCCATTAACTAGTTAATATGTTTGAAGAATACTGGAGCCACAGTAATTATTTCAATGATATATGATTTCCTTTTACTTAGATGTTTTTTTAATCTCTGTAGAAATTTCTGGAACTAGCTAAACAAGTTGGAGAATTTATAACATGGAAGCAAGTAGAATGTCCCTTTGAACGAGATGATAACATCATCCACTATTTACATACTGCACCTATCTTTACTGAAGACGGTAAGAAAACCGTTTTGACAAATGTTGCAGTGGTACACAATTAACATGATTTCATAGCTCTTGATTGAAAATGTGTTTTTTTAAATTTTGAACTTGCAGAAACCCAAAGTGTCTACAACCAGTTGCTATAGGATTACTTATCTGGACGTTTTCATTTTCATAGCTTTTCAGCTAAGCATCTTGCTCATAGCAAAGCATCTCTTTGGTGCACAGAGAGAATAGGCCTGATGAAGCGGCTGTCATGAATTTCAATCATGTTGTAACTGAAAGCATTCTGAGACAGAGCAAGTCAAGTTTGTCATGGCTGCAGGCCTGGAAAAAGACTCAACTTTCAACAGAGATATATTTACCTTTTACACTGGAGGAACCCTTTCAATGCAGTTCTTTCATCATGCAATTAATCATTCCCACTCGGAAAAGACTTCTTTTTCTATCTATCCTTTCTATCTATCCAAAGTGTCAACCTTCTCTGTAGCATTTCATAATGGGTTAAATCAGTTCTGCCCCATTATCATCATGTCAGAGATAAGGGCTGAATCGGTTAGCTTTGCCTATGCATGGCCATAGGCTTGACTGACTTTTCAGTTTGTTTTTGAACTTTCGGTTTTTAAAGAGCAGCCTTTAAAACTCATCTACATTAATCACATATGACAGCTGAAACTTCAGTGACCACACATGAATTTAGAATGTAGCAAGGAAAATTATGCTGAAGCCCCACAAGGAACAGCTGTCAAAACTGAAAAATAATTAAAGTAATCACTGCAAGCATGATGGGAAGGGGGAAAGAAAGAAGAGGATAGTTCTGACATTGCTCAGGATCTCTACTACAGCAAAGGGCACATTGTGAGATGTGCTCTTAGAGTCCAAGATGGGGGTCAGAAGTGAACAAGGAACAGCATTTTGGTTGTTTTTGCTCCACCGTTTTTTTTCCCTTTTGTATTCATGAATTCCTTCCCATTCAAGTAATGAGGGAACTGAGCTACATAAGATACAAGACTAGTGTACAGTATGAGCCCCTTTGGCAGTGGCTCCGGGCACCTGGATTCCACCATAATCACTGTCCCCCTCTGCCAAGCATCCCCCCCCCCCCCCAGCATCAATGTTCTGTTGTCACAAATGTACATTGCAGGGCTGTGGAGGTTTCTGTGGGAGGCTGAGAAGCACCCTTCAAGGTCAGATTTATTCCTCTGAGTGGGGACCTCTTCCTCTGCTCTTAGAAGGGGATCCTGTGGCCCTACAAGGCTGAAACCTGGAGTGCTGCAGTTGTTTAAAAGTAATTCTATTCGGTTTGAATGCTAACTTGTGCATTATCGTTTCAATAATTAATGTTTCTCCCCCTCCCCTTCCTTAGGTTTGTATCTGGCATCCTATGAAAGTGAAAGTCCAGAAAATCAAACTGAAAAAGAGAGGTGGAAAACCTTGAGGTACTGATTTATTTCTGGTGAATCTGGATTTAGTATGTGGTGCGGCTGGGCAGGTATAATATAAAATGTAGCTATCATTGCTACAGCTACAGTATGTGTAGCAGTTGCATTATGACTTTTGTTATCATGCTTGCCTGGTAAAGTAATTTAGGATTACTTAGTCTTGGTAGCAAAGTGCCCATATAAGGTACTTGGGAACTCAAGGGCAATGAGCTTTCACAGCAAATTGAGTCTTTTTTAAAAATATAACAAAATCACAAATGAAGGGTGGATAAATGAAGCATTCCCGGGGACAAAAAGAGGAAGAGTATGAGGGGCTAAGGAAAGTAGTACAATGTGCGCCACTTTGCCTTTAAAGTAGGTGAAAAGAAGTGGGGCATTGCAGATATGAAAAAGTTAAAGGGGGGAATGTTTCTGTTCTTTTATTCTCTTTTCCAAATATGAGAGGCGGGTGCAGGGATCCAGAAGATCAGTATAAATCCAAAAGGATCAAAAGCAGAGATTTTTCTTAGCCACAGTATGCCTCTCCCAGGTAGAATTAGATGAAAGTGGGGTGTAAGAGCAGCCAGCCAGCCAAGAGTCACTAATGCTAAGCAGGAAGAATGTCTGTCAACAAAACTAGCAAAGAATACACTGGACGGGTTATAGGGAGACTTGAAGAGAGAACTCAGGTGTTCCAACACCATTATAGATGGTGAAGTCCTGGAAGGGTGATGTCCAAATAAATATTAAAGACATGTTTAACAAATTAAATATATCTGGATTTGTAGTGTTTTTTATTTGCATGCTTACTACATTTCAATTATGTTTAGTAGCCCAAGCTACTTCTTAGAAAAGCCATTTACAACCTTAGAAAAAGCAAAGGCGGCCATGTTGTCCCATGAAAAATCTGCAATTAGGCAATGCCTTTATTATGACCAACCAAGATGTCACAAAATAGTGAGCAAGCTTTCAAGTTCTTCAGAACACTTAATCAGGCTGGATGTTACCCAAATGAATGGAGAAAGACGAATAAGCTAGCTTGATGTTAAAAGTCACAAAATCTGCATTGTTGCAGGTTTAATACAGAGCGTAGGAAGCGATCACATACTGCTAGCAGAAAGTGTTCAACCACATGTGACCAATAGGTAATTAATGACTCTAAGAAATGGAGTGGTGCCAAGTCTTGGAAGAGGCAGTTGTGTGTCCACTTGGGAAACCCTCTTTGGGCCGGGGAGATTGTACCAAACATCCAGTTGCCAGTATTCCCTTTTTGGGCAAGGTACTCAAGAAGGTGGTGTCTCAGCTCCAGACACTTTTGGAAGAACTTTGGAAGAAATTCTTCCAAACTTCCACTTTTGGAAAAAGAACCCATTTCAATATGGGTTCAAGTTCAGGTCTGGTACTTAAAAGCATTGCTTGTCTTGATGAATGATTTCTGCCAAAACAGGGACAGAAGATTTGAAATTCTGTTGGCACTCTTTGACTGCTCAATGACTTATAACCATGGTATTTGCTTCCCTGGGTGTTTGACTGGGTGTAGAGGGCAAGGCAGAATTGCTTCTGCCTTCATTATTGGTTTCAGAAGACAGCATTGGAGGGTTTCTGTTCAACTACATGGCTCTTCTGTTGCAGCATCCTGCAAAGTTCCATCTTATTGCCTATATTTTTAACAACTATAAGAATATACTGGGTAAAGTTACCAGAGTTTAGAGTGAAGTGTCATCATATGCAGATAATGTCCAGCTCTGTTTCTCTGTTATCTGAGTGAGAGGAGGCTGGCTGGTGTGGCACCTGTGCCTGGATAAAGTAATGGGTTACAGGAGGGCCAGTAAACTGAAGCTGAATTAGGATAAGATGGAAGCCCTGTAAATGGACAGTCCTCCTGAGTGTGCAAGCTGTTCTTGTCTGTATATCCACCCTTTGAAAAAGTAGACCCATAGCTAGGGTGTAGTCTTCAATGCATCTTTGTCCCTTGATAGCCAGGTGGCCTGTATGGCTTGGAAAGTCTTTTACTAACTGCCTGGCTCACCACCTGAGATCCTTCTTAGATAAGGATAATATGACCATGGTGATTCATACTTGCATAACCTCCTGATTGGATTACTCTAATGTATTATACATAGGGGCCGCCTTTGAAGACCGCCTGAAAACTTCAGCTAGTGTAGAACTGGCTACCAGAACTTCAATTAATATACCCAGAGAGAATTATGTTACATTGATTCTGAAAGAGTTGCATTGGTTACCTGTTTGCTTCTAAGCCCCATTCAAGCTGCTGGTGCTTCCCTTTAAAGCCCTAAATGACTTGGGACCCAAATGCCTTTATCAAGCTGTGCATGCCTTGAGGAAAGTCTGTTCTCCAAATACCCTCCTCAGGGGAAATATCTCATGTGACAACTGTGGAGAGAGCTTTCTCTTTAGTAGTTCGCTGTTGTGAACTACCATTCCCAAAGGGAAATGAATGGCCAACTTTACAGTCTGTTCACTGCTGGGTCAAAATGTTTGCATTTGTCCTGACTCTGGGAGATGGTGGAGGACAGGAAGGCCTGGAGAAATGTTGTCCATGGGGTTGCGATGGGTCGGACACAACTTCGCGACTAACAGCAAGAACAAAGCATTTCCACTGCAAAATTTTGTTTGTGTATTTTATTTTTGGATGGCTTGTTTTTTCCTTGTTTATTGTACACAGCCTCAGTATCCATAAATATGGACAATTTAAAAATATTTTAATAAATAAACGCATTCTAATGACCGAGCACACAGCCAGCCCAGTGTTTGTGCTGGGTTATATTCCTGAAGTTGCTGGTGTCTCTTAAATCATAGAGTTATAAAACAGAATGCAGTATAGGTGAAATTGATTTGTATTTAGCCACCAAGGTAAAAGGGGGCTTTTCACATGAAGTCACATTTTCTTCGGAGAATTTAATGCAAGTGGAGCATTCCAGTATTATGCTGGATACTAGATTATACTGATCTAGTATATACTGATACTAGATTAACATACTGCTGGTGTGTGTGTGTATATCAAGCAGTGACAATATACCTTTTAAAGAAGTGGTATCTTATGAGTCAGATGTTAAGGCAGATTGAAAACACTACTAAAGTATTAATTGTCACTTCTCACATTACTTTTCCCCTTAAGTGTGCCCTTAAGGTACATGGAAGGAACTGACTTGAAAATGCATGTACTTACGTGTTAGAAATACTGGATAATGTTTCAAAATGATGTATGTAGGAAAAAGGTAATATGAAAACTTGACACATTTCATGAAGTTGGAAAAGCTAGGAAGCTATCCACTATTCTATCAAGCGTTGCACCATTTCAACTTACTTCTGGGTTGAATTTCTCCTTGACTCCTGTTACTGCACTGGGGCACTGGGTATAGCGAGCCATCTGCTCAATGCAGAAACAGAGAATGCAGTCAGACTAATTCTGAATAACTCAATGTTGCATTTCCCCCTCTCTTTTTACTCTTCTCATGTTTCTACTTTACAGGTCAACTATCTTAGGAAAGACTTGAAGAAAAAGATCTATAACTGCAGTAGGATAAAATAAATCAGCAAAACCACTTTGCACTATTGGTTCCAAAGATGCCTATTTGGGATTTAGGAGATTTTATTCTTTATTTTTGCGTGCATTTTTGGACTCTTAAATGTGGTTAACTGGGTTCATCCACAAGACTAAAGAAGTGTGTCTTTCTACTGCACACACCGTCATGTTTTCCAGCTATTCTCTACAGCAAAAGCTGAATAGGTGGCTTGCTGTAACAGAACTAAGTCCTTATCACTGAATAACCTTGTCTCTCTGAAGGAAGAGCAAAAGGCAAGGAGTGCCACGGTGCTGCATACTTGCAACAGTCTCCATTGGAAAGGTACAGGGTGTGTATCTCAGAAGCAGGGTGTATTGGACAATAACTCTCCGAGGGCTGTCAAAACTGAATTCTGATGAACATAGCTTTACATGCTACATGAGAAAGAATCTTGTTTTCCCTCCACAGTCTTCACCTTCAGTGAACAATATTCTGAGAACAGAACATTAAAAACTAATGCAAGACTGTATCAGTATGGAAAATCCAGGAAAAGCCTACACATTTTTTAAAAAAATGTAGAAACATTGCAGCTGCAAATATTCATTATTTCTCCTTCTGTTTGGATGTGAATCATATTTCCTTCAGTAATAGTCTAGTCAGCTCCTACGCTGTTCTAATGGAGTATGTGGCTTTCAGTTTGACTTACCTCTTTATACAGCACATAGCATATCCTCTAGCTCTGTTAATGGTTGAGAGTATCATCTTCCGGGCCTTATCTCATTGATAGTTAATGGAAGATGAACCTATTAAGGGCTCTTAAGATATTTTCCCCCTTTACCTATTCATTGAATCTTTCTGGCCAAGGCAAAGAACATTAGAAAAGGGGAATTACTTGACATTAGGGCCCTTATTTGCAGTGCATTCAGGAGGACACTTTTTACTCTTATGAAATATTGCACTATGCCTCAAGACACAAAGAACTGTCAACATGCAGTTTGTAAGATGGGTTTCTTGTTTTACAATTCCCCCTGTTTGTGTATGAAGTGTCGTGTGGTCACTGCATTCCGTCTGAGGGAACAGTAAGCCATCTGTCACATCTGTTAAGATTATTGATGGCAATCAGGGAGCTGCTGTGTAATACAGACATCAAGTAATAATTGCTTAATTGTACTTTCATATGATACAGATGTAACACTGGGATTGTCCTATTTTAAAGTTACAGATTATTACAGAGTGGAAGCCAAATGAAAAGCTCCCACTGCTAACTATATAGAACTGGGGTAAGATGTGCAAATATTTGTTTTCATAATTAGAGTTTTGTTGTGTAACAAAAGATTACATCACAGTGGACTTGGCATCACATGTAAAACAATAAGTGATGCTCATATCTATGATTTAACAAAATTTCTTGATTCTTCCCTCTACAAAAACGCCTAGAAAGAAATACAAATCTGGCAAGCTGGACACTGTGTAACACTCTCTCTGTGATATGTTACTTCTCACATGCAGTGGCTGTTAGGAACAATCCAGAGGATAACCTTTAACATCCAATATATAAAAGATTTTAGCACAGTGATCAAACCTTGAACTGGTACCTTTGTTGAACAATAAAGCAGTAATTTGACAGTGGGATGTGTTTAAATAGTAATTTAGCCAGACTGTTGACTTCTGAGTGTAATCACAGTGACATCTCCTAAGACTTTCCATGGGGCTGCTCAGAAGCTAACACCGGTGCTTTCTTTGAATGAGGCCCTCCTTAGCCTCTAGGATGCAACTGGATCATTGTATCTACTGGGACCTGTATTGACAACCTACTTAAGATTGTCATATTCTTTCTATATATAGTAACACCTTGTATCATGGCAGCTAGTGTTGGCATGAAAATAGTTCATGCCAGCTTTAGAAATCAATGTACAAAAGCTCATAAAAATGTATGCTTGTCTGCCTAACCCCACAGACCTATCTTAGTAATTTATACATAAATGGGGAAGGAAAGAGAGAAATTAAAGGATTGGCCTTGTCACATTGACAGATTCTTAATGACCAGGCACAACCAGGCAAGTGTCTGGTAACATGAAGCAGTACGTATACAATCTCACCCAATGTGCTAAGTTGTTTACAAACTTATACTTTCTGCATTGAGCACCATAATTAGAAGATGGTTTGGTGGCTGTTTCATGGGAGGTGCAGTATTTGAACCTATTAGATATGTTAGTGGCATTCCCTATAACAGGCTTCAGCATCCAGATGGAACGTGAGAGGCCATTTTATTTATGGCGTATTTGCAAACATCCCCAAAGGATGAGTGAGCTGCTACAAAATGAAGATAGGCAAAAGCTGGGCAGGGGAGTGGGGAGAAGAATCCAGGAAACTACAAGCCAGTCAGCCTGACTCCAATAATACTAAAATTATAAAGCTGTCAGTCTGTAAGCATGTTGATAATAATGCAGTGATTAGTGGATACCAGCATAGATTTGTCAAGAATAAATCCTGCAGGACTAATCTTAATTCTTTTTGATTGGGCTACTAGCTTAATGGATTATGGGAATACTGAGGACATAGTTTATCTCAGTTTTGGGACAGAATTCTCCATTATATTTTATTAGAAAATGATAATTTATAATTATTTTTGATTGAATCGAAAAAATAGCTGACACAATGAAATTTAAAAACAACAAATGTTCTGTATTTAGGCAAAAATAATAATCAAATGTACAAGGACATGCAGCTTAGCAGTGGCACTTGTGGAAAAGTCTCATTATTGTAGATGATCCCATGATGAAGGTGAGTTACCAGTGTGATGTTGCAGCAAAGTAAGCCAATGCAATTGTAGCCTGTAATATTAGAACTTTCCAAGATACAAAAAGGAATAGTTCTAATTTGTATGTATCAGTCCTCTTCTAGAGGACTATGACCAGTTCTGGGCATTACATGGGACAAACTGGAACAGGTTTAGAATAGGGCTTCGGAGAAGTAAGGAAAGCAAGTTCTCTGGGGAAGTGTGTAAGGAATGGGGTATGTTTAACTGAAAGAGAGGCTGGGGGAGGCAAACATGATAGCATTCTTCAATATCTGAAAGGCCATCACATAGAAAAAGGGAAAGGCTTGTTCTCTACTATTTAGTGTATCTATTCAATAGATTCTATTGGGCTTAAGATACAACATGGTAGATTTTGCTTGAACCTTAGGAGAAACATCTTATTGGTGAGAATAGTTTGACAGTACAGCCCATTACCTAGCGGAGCTCCTTCTCTCCTGCAAGAAGATAATCTGTTGGAGATGCTCAGTCTCTGGAGTTCCTGCACTGAACAGGAGGCTGAACAAGATGGCCTACAAGAGCCTTTCTCCCCTCCCTATTCCAGTTCTGTGAAACCTTATGGCAGCTTGTAGGCCACCACCACTGTTTACAGTAAGAAACCTCACATGGAAATTAGCTGCACTAATTTTGGAAGGGACTGAAGACTTAAATACTAAGTGTTAACTCAAGAAAAAAGAAGCCACTTGCTGTTCAACCACTCGCCCCAGCTCAAGAAAACTTTGTCAGTCAATTAGCTGATGCCCTGTATTTTAGGGAGTTCTTATAAGCTACTGTCAGTCTTAAAAACAGTATTTTGTAAGGTTTGATTTTATGCCATTCAGGAGCAGTATGCTGATGGAGAAGCCCCGTTTACCTTAACAGCCCTCCATATGAAACCATTTCTAAAATTCTTTCCTTATACACTCAGTAGATTGCAACCTGGTCTGGAAAAATTAGTCATGTGTTCATAAATAATGGATACTATATGTGTATTCTCTGAATGGCCATTCTGTTAAACATGTGCATCTTTTAAATTGCTGGTTGATTACTATAATGGACCACATTATATTGGATAGAAGTGACTGAAAGATGGGCTTGCTTTTTAAAAGTGCAAATGCCAATTTGTTTTCAGTGATCCATAGCAGATAGGATGTCTGTATGAAATAAAACCCAGTTTGCAGCAATGTATTCATAAGAGTATGCTAAAAAGATTACTTTTTCCCTGATCTCAAACATATCACACACAAAGGGACTGATTTATTGTCACATGTTCTGATATTTGACAGGCATATCCCATTGTATGCCTGAGCCTAAGCATGTGCATGCTACCACAGTGAGTCCAAGGTTTCTGTTAACTCTACACTATAAAATGAACAGTAATGTTTCTTATATAAGAATGTCTGAAGACCTTTGTAATTCCAGCTTATCTTAACATTGGGGTATGTTACACAAACTTACTGAAATATTCTGAAAATGTAATATCAGGCACAACTAAATAACTTATTCCCCGAATGTGCTGACCACCTTTTTCTGTCAACATTAAAGGCAGCTGAAAATTCACATGGGGCTCACAGCACTCTCAGATCTGAACAAGGTGTTTTCTTCAGAAACACTGTTTTATGTGAATTTGCTTCTCGTGATTTGCTCCACATTGCTCAGGTACAGTTTGGCTGTACCCTGCATTTACTGAAAATAGTAATGTCTTGTACTGATCATAGACTTGTACCATCTGGTATAAATACCTGTAAAGGACTCAGTTTCCTAACAATCTTATCTTTCCAGGGTTATTGTTTGTTGCTGCCACAACCATTGCCTTTAACCAAGTTTGGTTTCCTTAGTTTTATGGAGACATTTGAAACCATGAGTACACAGTCAACAAGAGGCTCTGCAGCAGCCTTTCCCAACCTTGGGTCCCCAAAGGTTGTTGGACTACAACTTCCATCATCCCTGACCATTTTCTAGGCTGCATGAGAACAATGGGAGTTGTAGCCCAACAACCTTCATGTCCCCTCAAACTGCAAGAGAAATTCTAAACATCAGCAGTCAGAGTGCATAGGCCAACCATATTTATGCAAAGCAAGCAAAGTTTGCATTCACGTGTTGTTCTGTGTAACTTCTTTTGAGTAAAACATTAGTAACTACCTAAGCTCAGAGTACATAGAAAGTTACTTTTGCATTATCTCTGTACATAATGTCTGCCAACTCTCAAACAATCCTTCAAGGCTTTGTGTATGATGTAACCTCAAGTAACTAAAGTGGGAAAGCAGCTGCAAATTCTCTGCTGGCATTGTGACAGGACTGGCCTTTGGCAACATGAGTGTTAAAGCCACGTTAACAACTGCACACATTTATTACTGCAGCTCCAGTGTTGGCCCTGGGCTATCTTGTACGTGGTAGCCTAGCATTTCTGCTGTTTCACTGAGGAAATAACTTGGGAAATGGAATTTATGGAAAGATGGGTTACATTCTGCATTCTGCTGAAAGTGATCCATCCACACTTACGTGCTGGCTGGTAAAGAAATGTATTCCTACGTATCTTAAAAGAGTGGTGAGAGCACCATGTGTTGGTCTGTTTTAAACATGCTAAGGCTGACCTAACCTCTCGGCAGCGAGCTGATTACTGCATATTTCTCATTCGGTTATTTGCATTTGTGACAACTGTAGCTGCCAGGGGTGAGGAAGAAAGCAACCCCATTCTTCAGAAATATAATACGAATACATTACCAAATCCTTTCAGAAAATATTAACATAAATTATTCTGTAAATAGTGCATAGAAATATTCAGAAAAGGGCAGTATTCCAAGTAATTTACCTGGATCTCATTATAAACAAGTCAAATTATCTCTTATTTTAAGGACACAATTTGGCATATTGGAAATTGGTTCATATTTCAATTAGTGTACCTACATTCAGTAGAATATGGAAATAGTTACAAGACTAAAATGCATAATGTATATATACATTTTGTATTCAAAAGTCATCTTATGAAAAGTTATTTTCATCAGAAGAGAAAAATGAAGCTCAGTCGGTTAGTTAATAACTTAACTAGATCAGGGTACCTCGGATTTCCCCCACATCTCTTCCATCTGAAAAAGCCTCCTGTCAAGAAGAAGCTGAAGGTAACATAACATTCAGCGATTACTGCCATTTGCTCACATACCTTTCCGTCTCAAGTTAGGGTGGAATCCTATAATGGTACCTGCCCAGCCCCCTGAACTGGGCGTCTGGTGCAGAGTGGGGGGGGGTGTCACCCCCCACTCCTCCTCTCCACAGCGTTAAACAGCTAATTGCAGCCATCAGGAAGAGGTGCTTCAAAGGGGGAGGGAAGCCTGGTTACAATCTCTATATGCTATATCGCTATGGAAGATTTGTCTTGGGTCTGGATAAAGGACTACAGTCGAACTTCAATGTTTGTAGGTTTAACTTTTGCAGATTTGATTATCTGTGAGTTTGCCATCAATAATTAGATGGATTTTTTTTTGAGTTTTGTAGCCTACTGCTACAAAATCATCACCATAGAGAGAAAGAAAGCAAAGGGGAGAGAGGGAGGGCCTCTGACAGTGGCTTCTTGCCCCAACCATCCAGAAAGGGAAACCCTTTGGGCATTTCCTTGATGTGAAGAGGCGCAAGTGAGTGAAAGGGAAAGCAGGGAATATGAACATAAGAATGTAATAAGTGAAGAGGGGAGTCCTGCTGGATCAGAGCAAGGCCTGAGAGAGTGGACCAATCCAGGACACACATGGTCAACAGTATTGTTAAGCTTTAAGGGGGCAGCTAGAGATATTCACAGTTTTTCCACTTCCACATGGGTCCTGCACCCACAACCCCTGCGCATGTGGAGGGCCAATTGTATATTTAATTGCAGAATATATGATACTTGGAATAACAGGAAAGCTGTGAAGAATGTAAATGTGTATTTAAAAAAAGGAAAAGTTGTATCTTGTTGTGTATGAACTGACTGTTACCACCATTGGCTATAGAGATAAATAATTGACACTGGACAACTTAGAGATTTTTTAAATGTGGGTAGTAGTATGTCACTATTTAAATAAATAAAAAC